GAGGGTTGAGGCTTTGGGGTTCGAGGTTAGGGGAGACGTAAGGGTTGATTAAGGCCGCTTGCAATTGGGCAGGCAGTTAGCTATGTATTTAAACATCAGAGATGCCAGTAATGAGAAGGCAAGAAGCTTCAGCACACTGAACAAGCCCAAATGCGAAGGGGATGAAAACATTGAACTCGTAGTTAATTGCAAAACCAACGGAGCTGCATCTAAAGAGTACACGACTGAAGCGGACNNGCGGCCCCCCCCCCCCTGCAGATCATCTCTCACATCTGAACCTTGCGTTGGTAGTAGTTTGAATGGGGAGAGGGTCTAGCCCTCAACACGGAGTAAGACATTATCTTCCTTTATGGGTATGGTACTTAGCTTTCATGACAGGAATACAACCTTACCTGGCCCAACCACCACCAGAAAAGCGCCACTCAGGTGGGCAGTCTGCGCGCATCCGAATCCCCCAACCTCCGGGCGAGAGATTGATAGCATTGGGATTGGAATCCCGGAGGCGTACACAGGTGGGAGAATTGGAAAAGGGGAGTGAGGGTTTGGGATTTTAGGATTTAGGGCTTAGGGCTTTGGGTCTGGGCTAGGACCGCTTTCACCGTTACCCTGCATCGGTGTTGAGGATGGCAAAGTTGCAGCAAATCCTGCCTTGATTCCCACATCCTACATCCGGAACCCTAGGTCCCCAGCCTTCAACCGTACACCCCCAAACGATCATGCGGCCTAATGCAGATGATAGCCCGCTCAAAAGCAGTCAAAAGGGGCTTCCATCCTTAAACCCAAAGCCTTAAATCATCCTCAACGCGACGCTGCAAGTCCAAAAAATGTTAAATCTCAAGTCCTAGATCCTAAGCCCAATCCTTACACCCAAAATCCTGAATACCTTCCATTGAACCTGACCTTGACAAGGATTGCCATGATCTTAGCACCACCCAAGGGTTATATAGGAATAATGGAAAAGAAAATGGAAACTACAGGGATTGTAGAGGTTATGTAGGGATTATGGGATATATTGTTGGGGTTATTTTGGGAATAAATCTAGGATGGCTGGTGTGCCGTCTTTTGGACGGCCAGGGGCGGCACGGCTTCATGTTTAACCAGATGGGGGGCTACCGCTACCCAGGTGCATGCTGGGCTTGCCAGCGCTAGGGAAAGGTCCGTGCCGAGGAAGCCATTTATGAAGTTTGCGAAGGAGACGCGCCAACCCCACACTAAATGAGAGGAAAGGCCAGCCAGATTCTACAGTCTGAAGGATGTGTTGATGGTCGCTGCTGGTGGTGTTTTTAGGGTCCTGAGGTGGTCGGTGAGTCATCAGAACGGATACGGAAGCTCGCTAGTACCTGGAGGAGATGATTCGGAAATATGACATGGGCATGGACAATCATGGTAAGGAGGAGGAAGACGGGGTCATACCAGCACCGTCCTAGGCTTGCGCAGATGGACCCCAGAATGTCGCAATGACCCAGGTGTGCCAGGACGGACAAACGAGGCCAGTCCCATCTGTGGAGGAAAAAGAACTCAGGTACCGCTTGAAGCTCGAAATGCAGATGGCCAGTGAGAACGAGAAAGAAGGCGTGACTAAAGGCCGCGCTGTATAGGGAACGAGAAGAGTGGACGCTGAACCAACCTATGGGAAGGCCAGGCAAGCAAATTCAGCGCATCTGGCTGACAGCGGCTGTGGTGGGGGGAGACGTGGTTCTGCCTTTGGTTTTCTGTGGACGGTGTATTCCCGTCTTCGTCGGCACCCTCCTTGTTTCTATCACGCCTGCCTAAACTTCACGCGCCATCTCTCTGCGGTTCGCTTCCCGGCATTCCACAGTGAACAGGAGCTCTTCTCCTTCCCTCCATCGGTTGCTGCCCTTTGTCAGTACCCCTCATGAGGATGTTGCCACGGCCCATGTTCTCATAGTTCCCTCCAATCTCAGGGCTCGCCACCCAAGGTTGAGGTCAAAAGTCAGCGTACCCCCGTGCCTCGCGTCACCTTCACATTGCCTGAGCGTCACCCTATTGGCCTTGGGATGGCAATCGGGAGGTCTTCCAGAAGGACGATGCTTTTAGCGTCGTCTATTGCGACTGATTCATGGCGTTGAGAATTCGCCCACTGTGGCAGCAGTGAGCATGGCGCGGTCAGGCCTGCTCACGTCCTACCACAAAGCATGGCGGTGAGAAGCTCTCGGCAGTGCCGCGTGGACGATCCGGGAGATTGAAGCAGGGCCACATGATGTGAGTAGTATTTAACTTGCGGATACTATGGTACCCATTATAGAGTAAGATGCGAGGGAGGGCGATCAGGGAGTTTGCCAAAAAGGCGTCTACTGCCAGTCATGTATAGTCCCCCTTAAGTAGATAGAATATGGCTTTGGGTATATTACAATAAGATCCCCATATACCCCATATTCTATCTACTTATCAAGTCATGGATGGGGGACATTCCATCTTGACGGGGGAAGTGGTCAATCTGAATGTTGCACGGAGGGCAATGCTGCAGTTGCTGGATGTGATCAGGGTGGTTTGGCTTATGTGGGAGAGTCTCCTCTGTGCTTGTGGGTGCCAGAGTCGCTTGAGGCTGGTGGAGAGGTGGTTTTGAGAAGCTTTGAACCTGAGCAGGGCAATGAGCTTCTGGGTTAGCACAGAAAAGCGATGAGTCGCAAGGTGACCCGGTGCCAGGGGCCAAACATTGAGAATGAGACAAATGGCATCTGAGAGTGTGGTGCGTGTCACCCGTAAGCCAGTGATACGATGCCGTGCATAAGCAGGTTTCGCCTGGATTCGCGGGTTGAACACCGGACAGCAACAACAATAACACCTGAAGCTCTTCAGACTCACAGGTGCCGAAGATTTACTGTGGCTTTTGGAGCAGCAGCCGCTGAGCGCGCGGTCCACTAACTTGGCATCACAGATGGTCAGGCAACAAGGGTTTTTAATTTCACGGCAAGAGTTTAGGAGTTTAGGGCGTAACGTAAAGGATTTTGCGTCTATGCGCCTAGGGTTTAGGTTGAGAGTTGTTGGATGTAGATGTTGCAGGAAGAGCTTTTTACGTGATTAATGCATTTGCAAACGTCTGGTAGCTTTGTAGGTGTTGAAGTACTACAAGTACACGATGTTTATAGGCAGATCAAATACTCGCTCGGGAATATCGTTTGCTGACTAGGTTCTGGGCGTTTCGATCTGTTTGCTTGGCTCTTATGGTCGCTCTTGAAATGATGGTCCTTTTTTGAGTTCATCAAGTTTTGGTGTTAGCAGCAGCCATTCCCAGATCGTTGCAATGCAACATTTCATGTCGCACGGCTTTTGGGTTTAGGTTTTCGGTTTAGGATGTATGGTATGGGGAGTTCGCTTGCGGTTCCAGCATGGCCTGTGGCATTGGGTTTAAAACTTCTGGCTTCTTACACGTTCACACGTTTCAGGGTCTAGGATTTGGGGCAGGCTTACGGAGCTGAAACGGTTTGTTTCGTGACGTTATGGGCAAATGAGATCTCAGTTGCGCGAGAAAGAGAACAGCGTCACATAATAGAACGATGTTGGAAGTCGCCTAGGATCTTGATGCATCTGCAAACGTAAGGCGAAAGGTCCCATTCTCCGACTTCGAACTGAATTGCATCATCGTGGATCTTTCGCATGAAGCCTGGTTGGAATCCTTTTTTCTTGCATACCTCAAACCCTTAACTCTAGAGCCTAAGACCTGAAGCCTGGGACTGCTTGCAATTATCCAACCATTCTTAAAAGGCTTACAGTGCTATGCAGAAGCCTTGTGCAATCCGATAAGGTACGAAGTAAATGCAAACCTAAACCCCAACATGAGCACTTATGATTCTTGCGACCCCCCCGATGTCGTGTGGCATGACAAATTCCTTGCAAAATTCAGTCCTTCCGCCACACACAGCCATGTTCGTGGTTGATGCCGCGAAGTGGTCATGCAGGGTGCCAAACCATGAGATTCAGGTTCTGGAGCACATAATGTAATAGCTTCATCAGGATCATCGGGGCATAAGGCATGCTGTCCAGATGGGTTTACTGGCAAACATTCATCCATGAGCCACCCAGCATAGCTCCAGACCCTACATAGTTAGGGTTTAGGGTTTAGGGAAGTCTGATCCTGACGCTCCCCAAGACATTATTCACAAACCGCAAGGAAGACATCCAGATCCCGTCGACGGCCACCATTTGCACGCAGCCTCTTCCTTTCACTGTACGCAGACTGAGAATGGCACAAGCTTTTGGGTTTGTAGGTCCCAAGGTCTGGAGACCTTTTTTGGGCTTTCCGGACTTGATGAAGTGTCAGAAGTGTTAGGGGCTTTGAAGGTTCGTAGTTGTGAGCCCTAAGCCCTGGTTTGTATTTAGCAACGAGGTGAGCGTTGGAGGGGTGGGGGTCAGGGTTTGGGAGGAAGATCTGATCCGAAGGGTGTTGAAGTCTTATTGGGCCGGCGCCCCGTGACCCTAAAGTCCCGCTTAAGTAGATAGAATATGGGGTATATGGGCATCTTAGTATAATATACCCACAGCCATATTCTATCTACTTAAGGGGACTATAAACCCTAAACCCCAAACCCTAAACCCTTGACCCTACCCAACCCCCATTGCCAAGCTCCCCGTCCTATTTTTGGCTGGTCCTGAAACTAGATCGACTGGCTGATGCTCAACACCGAGACAGGCTGGCGCTATGTGACAGAGCTTCGCATCTAGGTGGGGATTTATGTGGGCTTTGGGTTCGCTTTTTCGAAATAGTCGTAGTTTGGCGGACAGAGCATTCGAAATCAGGACCCCGTAGCATAATCCCGAAAGGGCCCGCGAAAAGGGCATGTGGTTTTCTTCACCTGTGTCATTTTCCCGTGCGTAGCAGCGGTCTTCGCAGCAGGATGGGGGCATTTAAGTGGTTGGTGAGGTTCCATACTTGGTTTCTGTGCTTTTTCTTTGGGTTCTTAGCAGTCGCGGCTGTGTGCCGCTCAGTGAGTCAGCGTCTTCATGGTCGCACTCTTGCACGTGCTTCCCTTGCATCCTACATCCGATCCATGGTCGCGCCTAAACCCTTACATTTGAACATGCAACCTGAGCATTTTCAACCCCACAAGCATTAGAAACCCCACAAGCCCTACACAAATGATAAACCTTTGTGAACCTTGTGAGCCCTACAAACCCTCTAGCCCTAAGGTCCTAAAGCGTTTGGTCGCAGCCCAGGGACGGACGAGTATCCCATGGTGAGTTATTCGGTTGCCAAGCATGGGTGGAGTTCTGGGTACACCTCCCAAGCAAGAACGATCCTAACGACCTCGGCCGCCCGACGGCCCGAAGCAAGCTTTAGGGTCCCAGTGGAGTTCGGGCTTAAATTTCAAGGTGTAGGGTTCTAAGCTTTGGGTTTGTTTGTTTGTCTGAACCTATGTCATCTTCTTTAGCGGCCCCAACCTTCTAAACTTCCAGGTTAAGGAACAAGAGGGCTGGAAATACCAATTTGATCTTCTGTTGTTTGTCATTTGATCTCCATTATCCCTAAACCTTAAAGCCTAAACCCTAAACCCTAAATCCTTATTTCCCTAAACCCTTAGAGGGCTTTTTTTAACCAAATCTAAGTGCTCCAGTGCAAGGTCACGGTGCGGGAGTCCGGTGGGGAAGCGCCGTGTACGTGGAGGAACTTCTACTTGAAAACATGGAGAAAGTGTTGTCATTTATTTGTTTTGGTATATAATGTGATAGAGACTATTTGCACACATTCCAACGTTTTGTCTTTTCTTCCCTTGCTTTCGTGGTGGTGGTTCTCTCTGATTCAAAAGTTTGGCCTTATTGCTGAACCTTACATTCTCCTAGACTTTTTGTCCTAACTCCATAACCCTCGGCCTTTAGAAGGTCCTAAAACTGAAGCACTGACACCTTAAACCCTGAAATTAAGGGTTTCTCAGTGGTGAACCCTTAAAGCCCCAAACCCCGCACCGCTGCTGTTGGAGGCATTTTACCGGCTCCCCTCCCACACTCGGGAAGCCAGTTGCTGCAACCATCCTCTTAAAAGATCCGGTGGTCATGGTCTGCCTTGGGGGGGGCTAGCTAGTCCTTGTGCTACGGAACCCGCATCCTTACATGTACGTTTCAGGGCCGCTAAATTTGGTAGCTACTCATCGGGTGTATGTATTTGGCTTCGATCGTGTAAGGGATTGACAAAAACGCTTATAGGTCCCCATTGGAATTTTCTATAAAGGAGTTTGGTTGGGGGTCTTTCATCCTACGCTCTAAGAAGCCTTGAGTACATAATCCCTAAAGCCTCATGCTTTCAGCCGAAAGCCTGAAGGTCACCTTAACCAGGGGCATCTTGCCGCAGTTCTTTGACCTCTTTACCAGTATGGGTGGCTTCTTGTCCATGACCACCCTGGTCTTTGCGGCTGTCTTTGCCGCCAGACAGGACCTGGCAGAAGGTTGGGCCCGAAGGGTTGGCAGGTTTAGGGGTTAGGGTTGGAAGGTTTAGATGTAGTCCCTAAACCCTAAACCCTAAACCGTAAACCCTAAACCCTATAGGAGGGTCAGGGACCGAGGATTGGGGCTTGAAGGCTGAAGGGTTTGGCGGTAGAGCGGTGGAGGGTTAGGGGACAAGGTTTAGGGGCTGAGGAATTTGGGTTTAGGGCGTAGCTCAGGGTTTGTTTGCTTTTTCGCTTTTTCCTCTGTAGTTTGGGGGTCTTACCTCTACTGCTGTTGCTGCTGCTACGGCCACTGCTATTCAGATGACTTTGATGACAGTGATAATCAGCATGATTGCTGCTATGAGTCCAAACCACCCAGGTAAAGCGCTATCCCCAAAGCGACGTTGCCGTTGTTTTCGAACAGCGGACGCTCTTTGGAAGACAGGCATCCGGAAATCCGGACTCGGGAGATCCAGATGCCTTTCGCTTGAAATAGCTTGTAGTTGATTTGTTTTCTATTTTATTTTTTGCTTTTAGGGTCGAAAAGGGCCTGTGCTGTTTATGGTTTGGGGCTGGGGTTCAGGGTTGTTTAGAGTCTGGTTTGGGGCTTACAAGGGCATAAGGCTTTGTTTCCAAACTTCGGGAGACAAAGCCCGCCGCCTACAAGACCGCACGGTACGATTTGGAGGGTATGAGGAAGAGTAAAGAAGGTTCATGGGTTTAGGGTTTAGGGTTTAGGGTTTAGACGGTGCCCTGGAGTCCAGGGTTGTGGATTGAGAGTCTGCATCATCTTCTGGAGGGTTCAGGTGTTTAGGGACTCCCTCCTGGCCTTCAGGTCGATTATTGCTGTTTATGTTGCTATCAACGTTTGTTCAGAATCCTATAGTTGCGTACTGTACTTATAGTCAACTAGGATCTCCAAGGCTTAGTCACTAGAGCTTAGGGTTTTGGTCTCGGTGTTGGTGGTGCGGCGCCTAACTTTTCAATCGCTTAAGTGCCCACAGCCATAAACATGCAAAATGAACCCTATCCCCAAGCCCCCTAGGCCTAAAACCTTAGCCTACATCCTACATCATAAGCCCCGAACCCGAAGCTGAAGCCCTGGAAACAAGCGTTTGCTCGCTGTGGAGCTTCAAGCCCCAGCCGACTGAAACTAATCCGCCGATGCAAGGTCTCCTGAGATGTGGGCCCAGGGCCCACACTCTGGAATTTTTACACCCTAAACAGTCATCCCCACCTGAACCCAAGGCTTCTGAAGTTCATGAAGAGGGCTTCAGGACGGGCCCTGCAAGGAGAGAACTAAAGATCAGCTTGAAGTAAAGAAGACCTTTCCTGGGGCTTCTACTTCAACTCTAAGCCCACAGCCCAAAGGTTTGAAGGTCCATACCCTGATTTTCATGACAAGTTCAACTTCAGGCGGTGGAGGAGGATCAGCAGGTCAACAAAGTGCAGGACCAGATGGAAGTTGTGAGCATGTGAGCTGCGGACAGCATCTGCTCAGCGTCATCTTTAGCCCAAAGACGGCTTAGATGGACTTTCTGAGCTTCAATGGAGACGTCTAGACTTTGATGCGGGGACAAGGGGATCAGAAAGCTTTACATCCAGCTTGGAGTGGTAGGAGTCTGCGCCCTCATCCCAAAGTCCCTGAAGGCTAAGCCGCTACACCTTAAACGGTAGGTTATGCCCGCTTGGGTAGTCAAGAAGTGGCCTCTCTCCAGAGAAGGGTAGCTAGCATCCCAGGGTCTCCAAGATTTGTTATGTAGCCATTGTAGCCCCAGGAGTCCTGCGAGCAGTCGAATTGTTGATATTAGTTTCTGGTCTCCTGTGCGACATGAAGGACTTCTTCACCCTGTCCCGACCCCTAGACTTGTAGCTTTTAAATATGCAGCGGTGGCTGTGCCTCAGGCACGAATACATGAAGAAAAGATTGCGTTCGCCGTTGCCAGATGTCGAAGACACTGCTTCAGGCAACTCCACGCATAGCAGGCGCCGTCGCTTTCCTGCCGTCTGGGAAAAGAACCTTGCAACCCATAACGCAAAAATAAGATAAGAGGAGGATGGTATAGTCCCCCTCAAGAAGATAGAATACGGGGTATATGGGGATCTTACTATGATATACCCAAAGCCATATTCTATCAACTTGCCGAAATCCCTTTATCATCAGCCCTAATCGAAAACCCTAAAACCTAAACTGCCCTAGCCCGGTTTCAATTCCATGCGGCCGAGTCCCGAGCTTCCTAGGCGAGCGACTGTGGAGAGATTCCCAAAACCCTAAACCCTAAATTCCCTAAACCCTAGACTCCAAACAATTCTTTATGGGTCATTCCCACCCACAATTACGGCCCTCGAAGGCTTTTCCTTGTCCCAGTCAAATGCCCAGTACATTTGGCGGTAACTGTTTCTGCAAGGGTGAATCAAAGGTGCCATGAATCCAAGGACTGCTGGAGGATCTCAGAGCCCAAGAGGCATGAATTCCCTTGAGGCAATAGGGTTGCCGGCGAGGAGAACCCATGCAAGAGGAGTACTTAAGTACAACCAGTAGAATGATGATGCTTATGTTGAAGATGATGTGTGGCCGGAATGCTGCGCGAGGAGATGGAGGAACAGCCTCCGCAGACAATTCAACTTGTGCAACAATTCCTGAGAATCTGCGCGATGTAGCCCTACTGTTCTAAGATAAACATCGAGGATCGATATCAGACAGTGACCTTCAAGCTTAAAGGCTAGATCCACTATGGTATGTGCATCGAAAGCCTAGTCTTTATCCCTGAGCCCAGAAGACCAAATCCTCAATGCAGGGCAACCTTCTAACCTCAAAACCACGTTATCATCAACTGAATCCCACAATCCCGGATATTGAGCACTGTCAACATCAGGTAGCTCCCTTACTCGGCAAGATCCTCAGTATGGTGGCCTGAATCCTTCCCAAGATTATAGTCCTAGGTTCCTTTTATGGTTATGTTTTAGGAGGACCCCCCACCCTGTAATAGTGGTATAATAGGAATATGAGAGGACCCTAATATAATCCCTAATATCCCTTATAGTCACTATCACTGGGTGGGGGGTCCACCTAAGTTATGTTATAGGATACTTCAACTGAACCTCGAGGTGACATTGGTAATCATATAGGCCATAGTCTAAACTTCTTAAAAAGGCTTCTATAGGGGATTCTATACGGGACCCTAAACCCTAAACCCTAAACCTAGGGGGATATTAGGAGAGACAAGGGCCCATAAAGGCCTGAGATAGCAACCCTAAGTCACTCTAAGCCCTCGGCCCTAAGCCATCCTCAGCTTCAAGTTTTGGGGTTTAGGGTTTAGGGTTTAGGGGATTGGTATGTTGGGAAAATTATGAAAATCCCTTGTTGCTTTTCAAAGAAACCTGTTCATGAGTATTTTTTGGGGTTGCCTTTGAGGTACCATCTTTAACTCCAAACCACCCTAAGCCCTAAACTGAAACCCTAAACTCCAGGAACATCTCGGGGGAATAACCGTTGCTTGTTATGGATCATAATCCATATATTTCTCTATGAAGCCATTCGAATTAACTATGATGGGGCCCCTGAACTCAAACTCGAAACCCTGAATTTTCTTCCCTTCAAAAAGGACTTGGGAGCCGCCACTTGGGCTTCGCTAAGCGGTTCGGACCCAGCCCGGCTGACTGTGCTGAGCCCACAACAGCGAGGTTCGGGAGTGGGGGGAGCAGTTAAAGATCTTGTATCCAGGTTTTAATGTTAGGGCTTAGGGTCTAGGGTAAAGATTTCAGGCAGTTTCAGGGGTTAGGGTTCAGGCTGTAGGGCTCAGGGATTTTAGTGTGCTGGGATGCATGAAAAGTTCAGGGTTTTGTGTTCGCTGTTTGGGGTTTAAGGTTGAGGGATGTCGGGTACACGGTACACGTGTAGCAATGCTGTTCGGCACTGTAGAATTCAGTGTTGGATGCGACTTGAACACATTGCTGTATCCCAGTTTTAGGCAGCTGTGCTTTCAGTGGGTTTATTGCACCAGTGGTCAGACAAGAGTACCCAAGACCACTGCAAGTGTGACAGCAAGGTTGTCGGCTTGGGGCATCTTCAGCCTTAGCACAAAGATTTTGTGAGGACGAATTGCATGTAGGACAAGGCGGGTTATGTGAAATCTTGAATTGCTCCCATTAAAACGGTGTAGCTTTGAACCCTGGGAAGCTTTGCAGCAGTTGCAAGTTGTAGGGCTTCCTCTAAGGCAAACTAGGGCGACCCTACACCAGACACTCTGTAAAACTCCACTAAGCCTGAGGCCTGATGTGTAACTTGTTTGTGGCCTCCACACCCTAAACCTTGAGACGCAAACCCTAAACCCTAAACCCTGTATGACCCTAAACCCTAAACCCTATAAAAACCACCTGGTGATCCGTTGGAGAGGCTCCCTGGTCGTGCTTGAGGTGACGGGCAGCTGGGGCCACGGAGGGTTAGGAGGATTATGTGGGGCTGGTTTCGAGAAGCTCTCATAGGAGAGATTCCCAAGCCCAAATGACTCCATATCCCTGTGTTACTAATACTCTTACAGATACCTAGATTCAAAGAGGGTATCCAAAGATTTTTCCTTTTAGTTTAGGGTTTGGAATTCAATGTTCGGGGGTATCCACGAATCTCTGCAGAGTCCAGGTTTAGATTTAAGGGTGTAATTTAGGGTTTGGGGTTTCTCAAGGCATTAGGGTTCAGGGGTTAGGGCTTGGGTTCAGGGTTTGGGCATGCAGAAACCCTAAACCCTAAACCCGTAAGCCCTAAACCCTAAACCCTTCAAAGTCGGCTGGGTTGTTTAAGCAAACCCTGAAATCCTAAACCCTGAACCCTTAAACCCTGAACCCTTAAGTCCTAAACCCTAAAACCCCTTAAACCCTAGACCCTAAAGACCCTTAAACCCTAAACCCTTAAGTCCTAAACCCTTAAAACCCTAAAGCCCTAAACCCTTAAATCCTCTCAAAATCCTAAACCCTAAAAAAAAACCCTTAAACCTCAAAGCCTAAACCGTAAGATCCAAAGAACGAGGCGGAGCCTCCGTGGCGGTAAAGGAAGTCTTCCGCGGCAGTCGCCTTGCAGATGTGCCTCCGGTCCTAAGGCCGGAGGGCACTTTTGGGGCTTAGGGCATGGTTTTGGGTTTAGTTTTTTTTGGGTTTAGGGTTGAGGGTTGAGGGTTAGGTATATATATATATACTTATTATGTATATCTATGTATATCTATATCTATATACATATATACACATGTTTATGTGTTCTTCGTGTTGCTAATTCTTCGTCCCCTCTCAATACAGAGCTTAAAACATTTTTGCGGATAAGCTCAGGGCAGATTCAGTACAGTTTCTTTTCTCTTGTTAGATCAAACACACATTTAGGTGCCAAGCAAAAATCACAGGAAATCTTGGTGTATTCGAAGCAAAAAGTGGAACAATAGCTTGAACATCAAAATGCATTTTGCTTTCAGACGTTTGGCCGCGGTGGAAGGA